CGCACGACCCCCGCAATCAGACACGTGCGCGCACTCAGATGCGCCACTCACTGTGAAGAAGAAAGGAAAGGCATTTTCTCCCAGTTTCTTAATAAGTCTCTCCTGCAGTCTAGTCAGTGGCTTCTTCTCCTCCGGCAGTGGGGGGAAGGCCTGGAATGTCGCGATGAAAAGGTCCTTCCTGAAGGACAGGCCCAGCACATCGAGGTCCTCGCGTCCATAACGGAATGCACAGGTCAGAGTGACAAACACTGGTGCACACAAAAAAAAAACAGAGATCACGGCCCACTTTACCAGGAGCAGCTCGCTCAAACAGCTCCGGAATCCCAGAGGAAGAGAGCTCAAGGTCCAATCCAGCCAGTTTAAACAGCCCAAACCCGTATTTCACCGATAACTCCTGGTCCATTATGTTCATTGTTTTTTTTTTAGGATTTCCCCCTTTGTAGGAACACAGTTGATAAAGCTTTCAGAGGGAGCACTTTGACAGGGGGTATCAGAAAAAAAAGTTAGCAGGAGATCTGGAGAAGTTACGCCAGGAATGGGGACAGGAGGAGAAGTGATTCCATTGCAATTATTTGGATTGCACTAATCAGATTCCTGAGACATTGTTCCTCTGGGTTTACCATTGTCTACGTTGTCAGACACGTCTTAAGGCAGTGAGACTGTTCCCTGTTTATCCTCTCTCCAATTTGGAAAGGACTGGGAGAACGGGAATAGCCCTATTAGAATGTCAGGAGCAAGCAGTTCAACCCATTGAGGGCTCCTTTCCCATTTCATAAAATCATCAGATTGAGGCCTTAATCCCACTCTCCTGCCAGCACCCTTCCCCTCCAATCAGTCGAGACCCTCCTCATCAATCAAACTCCACTCAGTCTGGAGCGCATTCAATGCTCCGAGAATTCAATAGACTCACGACAACTCCCTCCATCAATGCTGGCCAACACCAAATACTCCTCATTACTAAGCTCCAATCTTTGTTTAAACTCCTGCCAAAAACTACTGTCATTAACGCACCGCTGAAGTCAAGGTCCTCTGGCTGTTTTTTCTGGAAATCTTTGTGCCTACCATTTATCTGGGGACAGCACGGTGGCTCAGTGGTTAGCACTGCTGTCTCACAGCGCCAGGGACGCGAGTTCGATTCCACCCTCGGGTGACTGTCTGTGTGGAGTTTGCACGTTCTCCCCGTGTCTGCGTGGGTTTCCTCCGGGTGCTCCGGTTTCCTCCCACAGTCCAAAGATGAGCAGGTTAGGGTGGATTGGCCGTGCTAAAAATTGTCCCGTAGTGTCCAGGGATGTGCAGGTTAGGGTGGATTGGCCGTGTTAAATTGTCCCGTAGTGCCCAGGGATGTGTAGATTAGGTGGGTTATAGGGGTTGGGTCTGAGTGGGATGCTCTGAGGGTTAGTGTGGACTGTGATGATGCAATGGCTTTAAGTGGTATGTTTTGTCCTGGTTTCTTTGAGAGCAAGAGATTGGGGGACAGGTATTGAGCAGTTTATGAGAAGATAAACTACTTGTGAGGCCTTGGGTGGTTTTGTTGGAACAATAGAAGCAGCCTGAGAGAGTGTGCTCAAACTCCCACAGAACCAGGAGTTTTAGTTTTGGCTTTCAGCAATTGTTGCTGGGGTCACAGCAGGGTTTGAAGGCAGTGAATTTCTCCCAGCTGCTACATTCTCTCTCTCAGAATAATCGTTTAATGTTTTTTCCTCCTGGATTGGAGAACCGCCTGTGAGACAATCTATTTCACTGAATGTGCCTTTGCCAAGGGTGTGTTTATGGTGTTACTATATTGGAACAGTTACTATTTAGTCATAAAATAATCTATTATTCTGTTAAGTTGTCCAATAGAGTTAAGTCATTCCAATTTCTTCTTTCTATTGTTGTATTTTAACTATAGTGTTTGAATAAATTGTGTTTTGCTTCAAGACTGGCAGTTTGACCAATCGAATTGCATCTGGAACACAATGCCTTTAAAAATAAGGAAAAAGTTAGGGTCGACGCCGTCTTCTGAACATATTTTGAGTGGGTTTGGTCAGGTTCATTACAAATGTTATTCCTCTCTCTGTCACAGCTAAAAGCTGGGGTTTCTCTTCCTGCTACCATAATTGCTTGTGAGACAATCTATTTTTACTGAATGTGCCTTTGCCAAGGGTGTATTTATGGGATGTTATTGTATCAGAATAGTTACCGTTTAGTCGTAAAATAATCTATTATTTTGTTGTTTTAAAATGGATTTAAGTTATTCCAATTTCTTCTTTCTTTTGTTGTATTTTAACTACAGTGTTTGAATAAAGTATGTTTTGCTTAACATTGAGTAGTTTGACCAATCGAAATGCATCTGGAACATAGCACTTTACATTTACGTTTAAAACAAGAAAAAGTTAGGGTCTAGGATACCTTGTTAATTTATTTTGAGGTGGTCTGGTCTGATCCATTACAAGACTAATTATCCATGTGTTTTGCCGCAACATTATAAAAGACTATGTAAAGTTAAGGTTCCAAATCTCAAGGGATTATGGAATAGACGGACCTATGATGTTTGAAGGTGGTAGGACAGGCGAAGAGAGCAGTTAATAACATACAGCGTCCTCAGCTTTCTGAACAGGGGCATAGTGTACAAGAGCAAGGAGGTGACGTTGAATTTGCACAAGACACTTGTCAGACGTTGTCCGGAATAATGTGTACGGTACTGGGCGCCACCTTATAGGATGTGCACGCATTGGAGAGAGGGTAGCCGAGTGATCTCAAGGATGGGATTCCTTGTGACGATAGATCGGAGAGGTTGAGATTGTTCTCCTTGGAGATGGAGGTTTTCAAATTCATAGAGCCATAGAGTCACACGGCACGGAAACAGACCCTTCGGCCCAACTCATCCATGCTGGCTGGCTGAACTGGTCCCATTTGCCTTCATTTGGCCCATACCCCTCTAAACCCTTTCCTATCCAGGGTGAGGCTGTTCCCGTTCATTTGTAGGAGGATTGAGAATCACAGGATAAAGATTTAATGCGATTCGCAGAAGTAGTAAATATTACACGAGGAAAAACATCTTTTTCACTCAGCGAGTGGTCAAGGTCTGGAATGCACCGTCTAGAAATGTGGTAGAGGCAGGTTCAATTGAGGCACTCAAGAGGGGCTTCAGAAAATTAGGTGGATAGAAACAATGAGCAAGGTGTGACGACACTATTGCTTTAAAGAGGCCTATTTTGTCCTTTATTTTTTATGAAGAAAGGTTGAGACAGAGGTGATAAGCAGTCTGCTCCAAAAGTAAACAACTTGAGAGACCTTGGATTTTTTAAAAATTAGATTAATAGAAGCAGCCTGGCTGGGTGGGGTCAGGCCCCTAGACTGAGGATGTTTAGTTTCAGTTTTCAGTAGGAGTTGCTCGGGTCTTGGAGCTGGGTTTGGGAGATACAGTACATCTCTCCCTGCTCCTCTCTCTCTGTCTGCCACACACACACACTCTCAGAGTTTTCTCTTAATTTTTTTTTCCTAGCCTGGAGAATTGCCCGTGAGACAATCTATTTTACTGAACGCGCCTTTGCCAAGAGTGTGCTTACAAGATGTTATTATATTGGAACAGTTACTGTTTTGTAGTAAACTAATCTATTATTCTATTATGTTTTCCAATAGAGGAAAGTTATTCCAATTCTTTCTTCTGTTGTGTTTTAATTATAGAGTATGAATAAAGTGTACTTTGCTTTAAGACTGGTAGTTTGACCGATCAAATTGCATCTGAAATGCAACACCTGGCACTTGCCTTTAAACAAAGAAAAAGTTAGGGTCTGGGCTATCTCCTTTATATATTTTGAGGTTTTGGTCTGGGCCATAACAAAGTTTATGGGAATAAAGCAGATTAGCTCTAGGTCATGGTGCCTGCTTGGAGAGCCGGTGCAGGCACGATGGACTGAATGGTGTCATTCTGCTCCACGACCCTTCTGTGATTCAGTGACAATACACTCACCTCGTCTGTCTTTGAGATACTCGGGATCCACCAACACCACTCCATCTGTAAAGAGAGAGAGAGAGAGGGAGTATTAGAGACAAAGGTTAGCATGGGATAAAATACATTTACGGACGCACACACGCACGCCCAACTGTACCACAACAAGGATTTGTACAGGGGCAGCACAGCTAACTTGGGAAAACAATCCACAATAGCAGGACATTTTAAATTTGGCAGCAGACCACCCAAGAGGAAGTGTGAGATCAGATATCCCAGGGGGATCGCAAGGCCAGGGGGAGCACAAAGCCAGAGGGAGCACAAGGCCAGAGGGTGCTGGGGGGTAAAGAGGGCGAGGGCACAAAGAGATGGAAACAAGGCCTCGAGATGTCAAATGTTGGTGATTACACTGGGGAGAACGGAAAAGACAAATGGGGGAGGGGGGGGGGGGGGTGGCGTTGCATTCCGTTTAGACACAACACTTCTCGCCCTCTCTCGCAGTAAAACAAAACACCCAAAATAAAAGCAGAGCTCGAAAATCTGAAACAAAATCAGAAATCGCTGGAGAAACTCAGAAGGGTCAGGTCTCTCTCACCACAGCAAGCAAAGAAGTTAATGTTCCTAGTCCAGTGTGGTGGCTGTGCTCTGGAGAGAAACCGTATTAAAAAGACATTTGGACAGATACATAAATAGAGGGATATGGGCCAAACACAGGCAAATGGGGATAGTTTAGTTTCGGAAACCTGGTAGGCATGGACGAGATGGGCTGAAGGATCTGTTTCCGTGCAGTATGACTCTATGACTTATACCGGCTCAAAACGCTAACTCTGTTGTTTCATTAATGGCATCACTTGCTGGGCCAGTGTTTATTGCTTATCCAGAGAAGCAGTCACCCACATTGCTGTGGGTCTGGAGTCACATGTAGGCCAGACCAGGTAAGGATGGCAGTTTCCTTCCCTAGAGGATCATTAGTGACCCAGATGGTTCCCGACAATTGACAATAGATTTATGGTCATCTTTAGACTCTGCATTCCAGATTTAATTGAATTCAAATTCCACCACCTGCCATTCAGGGGAGGCAACGGCCTAGTGGTATTATCGCTGCCGTGTAAATCCAGAGACCTGAGTAATGCTCTGGGGAACTGGGTTCAAATCCCGCCACGGCAGATGGTGGAAATTGAATTCAGTAAAAATCTGGAATTAAGAATCTAATAGTGACCACGGCTCCGTTGCTGAATGTCAGGGGAAAAAAAAACCTATCTGGTTCACTAATGTCCTTTAGGGAAGGAAACTGCCATCCTTATCTGGTCTGGCCTACATGTGACTCCAGACCCACAGCAATGCAGTTGACTCTTAACTGCCCTCTGGGGCAATTAGGGGAAGGGCAATAAATGCTGCCTGGTCAGTGAAAGCTTCATCCCGTGAATGAATAAAAATATAGTGGGATTCGAACCTGGGTCCACGGATGTTACTCAGGTTTGTCTGTCAATGATATCACTAGGCCGTCTCTCTCTCTGTTCACTAAATTGTTGCCCCAGTTGGTCAACACAGGACTTTTTGTGAAGGTGGAGTTTTGAGGAACTGTGTGGGCAAGCAAACTGGGGGAAAATGAATACCATTTAGCGCCTTCAAATCTGTGCTGGGAGAGATCATGCTCCTGCAGACCCCACACCACAATCCCACCTAACCTCCCTCCCAATAACATTTGTTTGTCGAGAAGGAATATTTCTTTTTTAGGAAGAGATGCAAAGACCCTGATTTCTGGGGAAGCAAAATCCAAAAACACAACACCCCCCTGACAGAACATGAGATTCTCCTCGTCGTCCGCTTCAATGGAGTTCTCCTGGTTTTGTTTTAGTTATTGGCTGGCCAGCATTTATTGCTCGTCCCTAGTAGCCCTGCGCGCAAGGAGGAACATCCATTTGGCATCCACCTTGTCAAGTTGCCTCCCTCTTTCTGCAGATTTGGTGAGTCAGTAAAGATGGAAGCTGAAGGGGTTTCACCAGTCAGAGGAATCGTCTCCTCCAACTGATGACCAGGGACATCTGAACAGATATAGAGAGAGAGAGAGAGAGATAGAGAGAGAGAGATAGAGACAGAGAGGGGACAGAGAGAGGGGGGGGGGGGAGAGAGAGAGGGCGGGGGGGGAGAGGGAGGGGGGGGGGGAAGGAGAGGGGGAGATAAATAGAAGAAAACATGTCTTGACTTTCAGGCGGACGATGGATTAGAGATTTATAAAGGTAGCTCCTCAAGGGGACAGCAGAGGTGCAAAGGGGCAGAATGGTCACCACAAAGCATGACAGGTGCACTCTGCGGCATCTGGCCCAGTTTTGGCATGTAGCTCACATCCCCAACCCACACCACCCCCAACCCACCTCTCTACCCCCCCACCGCCCCGACACACCTCCTCCAAAAAATAAAACAGGGACCACCAATAAAAGGGGGTCAGCCCGCACAAGAATCCGACTCAAAATGTGACTTACCGACTGGGTCCACATGGTCAAGGTGGTCAACAAAGTCTCGCTTGCCCAGGTAGACTGTTAACTAGAGGGGTTAACCAGACGGAGGAAGGGTTAGTTAAAGGTTTTTCCACAGTTTGGGCTTAAATATCCAGCCTGGAGCTACATTTAGATGACAAGGTGTGGAGCTGGATGAACACAGAGGGCCAGGCAACATCAGAGGAGCAGGAAAGATGACATTTCGGGTCGGGGCCCTTCTTCAGTTCTGGAGCTACACCTAACCGATTCTCCCAATGACACCAAAGACATTTATCTAAAAACTGGGCACTCCCTTCAGGCCCAATGTGTGGTCACAGGCCTTTTCATGAGTCCCTGTGACTTATAACGAGGAATGACTTGATCAGGGGTTAATGTTCAGCTTCCGATAGAACAAATGGGAGGCTGATATCAGCTGGTACAGGGCCCCGGAACATCCAGGACTAACACAATCATAGCTTGCTGACATTCAAGATTCGAAAGGGGAGACTGCATACCCATCGCTCTCACGCTCTCTCTCCCCCTCCCACTCTCTCTCTCTTGGGGAGGGTGGGGGGTTTGGGAGGAGGGGTGTGAGTGGTTGTGAGGGGGAGTGTGAAGCTGAATGAAGGTTTGAGAGGAGGTGTGGGTTTGGGGGAAGTATGTTAGGCTGTGAGGGTTCCAGGGGGAGTGTGAGGCCGTGAGGGGGGGGGGGAAGAGCGGGTTTGAGGGGGTGTGTGAGTGGCTGTGAAGGTGAGTGAGCGTTTGAGGGAGTGTGAGGGTGGGCGCAAGGGTGAGGGAGGGTTTGGCAGGGTGTGAGCAGGGGTGCGAGAATGAGTGAGGGTTTGAAGGGGTGTGTGAGTGGGTGCGAGGGTGAGGGAGGGCTTGGTTGGGTGTGAGAGTGGGTATGAGGGTGAGGGAGCGTTTGAGTGAGTGGGTGCGTGGGTGCGAAGGTGAGGGAGCGCTTGGCAGGGTGTGCGTGGGTGCGAGGGTGAGGGAGCACTTGGCGGGGTGTGTGTGAGTGCGAGGGTGAGGGAGGGCTTGGCGGGGTGAGCGTGGGTGTGAGGGTGAGGGAGTGCTTGGCGGGGTGTGCGTGGGTGCGAAGGTGAGGGAGGGCTTGGCGGGGTGTGCGTGGGTGCGAGGGTGAGGGAGGGCTTGGGGGGGGGGGGTGTGAGTGGGTGTGAGGGTGAGAGAGGGTTTGAGGGGGAGTGAGGATGTGAGGCTGTGAGGGTGATGGAGGGTTTGAGGAGCTGTGCGAGGGTATGAGAGGGAGAGCATCTGAGACCGTGTAAACAAAGCAGGCAGTTCTTTCTAGTAGCCAGCACGTTTTGCCGGGCAGAGTGGCTTCAGGCTGTATTGCATTCCTGTGACTGTAGAAGCCTCTCACCAGCACAGGGGGACAAAGGCAGGTGGATGCTGTGTTTTATGACCAATGGGTTGGTCCTGCAGTTATTAAATTGCTGTGCAGAAACTGAAAGTGTCACAGGGAGGTTACTAGGAAAGGAAATATTCTGAGTGTTTTCCCTGTCACAGCCGAGCACTGTGTGCAACACAAAAAGAGAGAGACCAAGAAACTGCTCTGTGTAAACCCTTGCAAATCCAAAACGTCAAGGCTGTTAACAGCTGAACTGATGCTCACAGAAGCTATGCAGATAATTCTCGGCTGGGGAGACTTTCATCCAGTTGGCAACGGTTGCCTTGGACATACATCAAAGACAAGACCCACCTCTCCTTTGCCACTTCAGACTTAGTGGGAGTCTGAGCTGTGAGGAAACAGTTCGAACAAAACAAAATAAAAGAAAGTCTCGTCGCTCACAGAGTTACAAGCCATGCATCAGCGTCCCATCCAGCGAAACAGCTCAGAGACTGACCCAACGGCTTCCATCAGACATGGGGCCAGGTGCGGGCCATTCGGCCCCTCGAGCCTACTCCCCCCCCCCCCCCCGAGTAAATAAGATCATGGCTGGTCCGACATTCCTCGCGTCCACTTTACATAGAAGCACAGGAGCGGGAGGAGGCCATTCGGCCCTTCGAGCCTGCTCCGCCATTCTTCGCGATCATGGCTGATCGTCCAACTCAACAGCCTCATCCTGCTTTCTCCCCAGAACCTAATATCCTATTCGCCCCAAGTGCAATACCTAGCCACCTCTTGAATACATTCAATGTTTTGGCATCAACGGTGATGACTTTCAAAGGCTTACCAGTCTTTGGTTGAAGAAATGTCTCCTCATCTCTGTCCTAAATGGTCTATCCCAAATCCTCAGACTGTGACCCCTGGTCTGGACTCACCCACCATCAGGAACGTCCTCCCTGCATCTACCCTGTCCGGTCCCGTTGGAATTTCCTGCCCTTTTCCTGTAACCCTTGATCAAGGATCAATGTATCCCAACCTTAAATATACGCAAGGACTCTGCCTCCACCTCTCTCTCTGGCAAGGAATTCCAAAGACTCAGAGAAGAAATTCCTCCTCATCTCAGTCTTAAACTGGCGCCCCTCCATTCTGAGATTGTGCCCTCTGCTCCTAGACTTTCCCATGTGGGGAGACATCCTCTCAACATTGACCCTTAAGAATCTGATACATTCCAATGAGATCATCTCTCATTCTTCTGATCTCTAGTGAGCAGAGTCCCAACTTGTTTAGCCTTTGCTCGTAAGACACTCCCACCATCCTGGGGATTATCCGAGTGAACCTTCTCTGAAATGCCTCCAATGGCTTAATATTTTTCCCGTTCTGTGCGTAGACCAAAGTAAGAAGAGAACTCGAAAACAGGGAGAGAAGGTTTCAAATCAAGTGGAGACGGGGAAGGAGCAAAATTGTTGATTGTGAGCAAGAGGGGTTCCAGTTTGAGACAACCTGTAGGAAAATGGATGGGGGTGTGCAGGAGAGAGTGCATCATGTAGAGAGGATGGAGAATGTAGGACGTGCCACCATGGAGTAACACACAGCAGACATAGGCGAGGAGCTGTGAGAAGCGTAGACAGAGGGTTAGAGAAGAGGGTCAAGACGATATGGGAAGGATGGGAGGAGGGCTGAGTGAAGCATAAATGCTAGTAAGGACGAGACAGGCCGAATAGCCTCTTACCAGGCCAGGCATCGTGTGGGGTCCTCATCATTTCTTTTACCCAGAGGACAAATCGGAGCAGAAAAATACCAGGGTTTTGAGTGTTCTGGTTTCCTCCCACAGTCCAAAGATGTGCAGGTTAGGGTGGATTGGCCGTGCTAAATTGTCCCATAGTGCCCAGGGATGTGCGGGTTAGGGTGGATTGGCCGTGCTAAATTGTCCCGTAGTGCCCAGGGATGTGCAGGTTAGGGTGGTTTGGCCATGCTAAATTGTCCCATAGTGCCCAGGGATGTGCAGGTTAGGGTGGGTTGGCCGTGCTAAATTGTCCCATAGTGCCCAGGGATGTGCGGCTTAGGGTGGGTTGGCCGTGCTAAATTGTCCCATAGTGCCCAGGGATGTGCATGTTAGGGTGGGTTGGCCGTGCTAAATTGTCCCATAGTGCCCAAGGATGTGCGGGTTAGGGTGGATTGGCCATGGGAAATGCAGGGTTACAGGGATAGGGTAAGGGGGTTGGTTCCGGGTGGGATGCACTTCGGAGGGTCAGTGTGGACTTGATGGGCCAAATGGCCTGCTTCCACATTGTAGGGATTCAATGGTTCATTGAGGTGGAGAGGCAGGAGGCCTCAGCTTCCTCTTCCTGAAGAGGAGAGAATGTGTAGGGAGAATAAGAAAAGGGTTCACAACGTGGAATGCTCTGCATTGTGCCCCATCAAACAACCCCAGGGTCAGGAACAGCACGGGGTTAGATACAGAGTAAAGCTCCCTCTACACTGTCCCCCATCAAACAGTCCCCAGGGCAGGGACAGCACGGGGTTAGATACAGAGTAAAGCTCCCTCTACACTGTCCCCCCATCAAACACTGCCAGGACAGGGACAGCACAGGGTTAGATATAGAGTAAAGCTCCCTCTACACTGGCCCCCCATCAAACACTCCCCAGGGACAGGGACAGCACGGGGTTAGATGCAGAATAAAGCTCCCTCTACA